CGTTGAGATCTAAAACATAGTGCATCGAGAGCTGTCTGACCAATCGATTACAAGCTATTGATTAACAGTTTTCTCCCTCTTACAGTGGAATCTTTCAGCTCATCCACACATTGCAATTAAAGCCATTATCCCGATCACTGACCAGTGGGACCAAATTTCGGCACCGCCCATTTTGGCGGAAGCCCCACCCATAGCAGGCGGGGCTTCGTTTATTTCATGTGTGCTATACATATCTAGCTACATGTCCTCACATAACTACGACTTTCATGCTGATCGGGTCGTAGATTCCGCCGGTGTTTTGAAACCAAACAATGGCCGATGTCGTGAATTCATTGAAACTTCTCAGAAGGGGTCCCCCGGTAAGACCAGCATATCCTGGCGCGATTGTGACGTCTGTGGAAAGCCAGAAGACACACCCTCGCCGGTTTTTCGGCGGCAAAGTGAAGCCCGACACTGCTAAAACCTTACTCACATCCCTAATACCGCGCCTCGCCTGTATTGCATTTCTTTCGTGGACGAAGTAGGAAAAATCGAGGAGTCCTGGATGTCGGGAGTGGTGAAAGGCAAGTGCAGCGCATATCATGTGTAACGCCCGAGGTTCAAACTCTAAGTCGTAACCTCCTCGGACCAATCAAAGCCCATCCATCCACTGTCTGTTAACCGGTACAAGACCAGTCTGGGAAGGATAAAAACACTGACTTGTACGTCGGCTGGCCCACGCAAGTCATTGTATAGGCCGAATCGTCTTTAAATCGCCGCTACGAATTACAAATGGAAGTAGGATGCGCGGCGCATCCCACTGAGGGATTCGATCAACGCCGAATGCTTTACTCTATTCCATCCCCAACGGGTCAGTAGACTGTAGCCAGTCGAAGTAATGTCGAGTTTTCGCAATCAATCTTTTGACACTCTTCTCCGAACCGTTAAGAAAGTTCAACTACCTAGTACCTACTGTTACTCGATTCTTCCACAGTAAAGAAATCTCCTTAATGTGACTGATACGAGAAGTGAAGCTAACTCAAAAGGCGGGAAGTACGATAAACGGGGCTTTCAAAGGGAATGAAAGTAGAGCCGCTAACGTTTTAAGCAGTGAAGAAACTAAGAGAAACGGTCTAAAACCCGGGCAACAGAATCCTTCTTTTCCCCCGCTGAAATCCCCTCGAACACGCTACATTGGTGCTGTCTTCATTAACGCAGATGCCAATATCTGCCGCTCTGCTGAAGTTGCAGTCTTATGGCAAAGGTAACGCAGCTAGGGTAGTCGCGTTGTAGACAGGTGGAGTGATATGGTGTTTGAAGGAACGAGTAAGTCCTTGCTGAGCCGCTACGAGCTCGCACTTCGCGAACGCTGTTGCGTTTCTCCCTTTAGGGGCCAACTTCCCTAATGTGGTAGATTCATTTCCCGGTGTTCATTAACTAATTTATCGATCATATGCTACTAGAGACAAAAATTGTGTAAAAGCCGAGTTAGTGAAAGAGAAAGTTGGGTAGCCAAGGGAGTAGGACAGGGTCAAGTTAGACGATAGATGACCTTTTTACAGCGGTAGGCCTTATCCGAGCGACCTCTATGCTAGCGATAAACTCCTTCACTCCCAAAATTGATAGGCAAAAGGGGGGTTTCGTTTTCCTCATTTATTTATTCTCTAACGCCCCATATGACATTTCTACATTTTTATTTTAACGATTAAACAAAACTCATCACGATAGCTACCTTCAGAGCAAAACATAGTATCTGTGCGCAACGAACTCAAAGCAAAGGTCTTTACGGCCATGGACGATCATGCTTTCGTTCAAGAAAATTCCGAAATAATTTCTAAGAGTTTTGAAGAAACTAGCAGTGCAGAAACAACACAAATCAGAAAATAAAATCCCAGAACCCTTCGCGCCGTTTTCCTGGGACGGTAATAAACTAGCCAAACTTGCACGTTAACAAGCAGTTTCAATGAGCACGTAACGTGGAGGTGCAAGTTTTTCCGATGATGGTGGAAATCGCTTCTATGGCACCTAGGAGACCTATTTATGAAACTCTGAAGAAAGCTTCCCAGGTGAGCTGCAGCTCCCTGGCAGGGTGGTTCCTTGCGCAGCCGTAAAACGCGCAGGAAGGGCTCGCTGACAGAAAACGGGACGCGGAGGGAGCGAAATACAATGCGTTTGGAGAGAAGCAGGAGACGCAACGCCCTTCGGAAGGACTTTTTGGAGTTGGCCAACTTCAAACTGCCAGGTGCGTGGGTCAAAGCACGGTGTTGGAAAGGGAAAGGGAGGCACCTTGCATTGATTCGTCAGTGGTGTAGCGCCTGCGGTCTACGTTGGTGTTGGATCAGTCGCGGGATCAATACTACGATAAGTCTAAAGGTTTGCAACCTTCGTAGGCTATTCCCTTTTCTCTACAACTCTTTCACCGCCGATAAGAAGGGCTCCTTAGTGCAGTGGTAACGATGCCGCTCATGGGACGGTGCACCGAAAGTTCGAACCCGTGTGTGACGCAAAGTTTGCACGTGGGCCCACACCCGGCTGCGTTCCACTATGGCAAATTATCAATGGCTCAACAGGGTATCTTGAACTTGAACAAGCGGCGTAGATATGTATCTCAGTGCCAGGTCTCTACGCCGTCACCGTCAATGTAGGCAATCGCCCGGCGCGAGTATTTTGCAAACAGCCTGAGCCATCCTAATGTGAGCGACCCCCCAGAAGGGAGTTTGCTGCTCCGCTGCTCCGTGGTGCAGTGGCAACGATAGCGGTTCAGCTGCGCATGGTCTGGGTTCGGTCTCGTGGAGGGACGAAGTTTTGCTTACGATGTCGCGAAGTTGCGCGTTTCAGATCTGGTTACCTTCCAACTTCAAAATCGTTCTTTCTCGTCCACAGGCATATGACTGTTATTCTTAACAGCCAGTTAGGGTAGATTACCACCGTCCTGATACTGTCGAATCTGCAGCCAATTCTATCGTGGTCCTCACTAAATCGCGGTCGATACAATATTCACAGCCACACTTTGGCTTCTGTAATTGATCGACCTCTGTAAGGGAGACTATTATCTGTGCTACAATTGAGGGTTGTATGACGGACTGGCAATGCACTCACCCTTCGCATGCGGCAGTTCTCACAAAGACCCACCCCGCAGTGTGTGAGAACAGAAATACCACTAGTTTCGCCTAAGTGGGGACATTCACCAAATAAAGACCTTGAAACCACCAAACCATGGAATCAAATGCGAAAGTCTAAGGCGAATTCGAAGCCAGTCATGAGCTTTACTCATTCGTTTGGTAAATGAATTCGCTGAAGTCACCATGCCCACCCTGTTGTCGTGAAAATGAACGCAATGATAAGTCATTAGTCAAACATCCTGTCCTATCAGTGATACAAGATAAACGAAGCGAACCAGAACCACTCCTTCTTTTTCACAGTTCCTTTGCGCCACAGTAAAGTGATAAGACACCTTCTGCTCCGCACTAGGACCAGGAAAAGGGAGGGAAGCCCAAGAGAGCAGACCAGCATTATATCCCGCCGGACAGCCTTCAATTAGGTGTGTTTCAATCAAAAAGTGGTGTAGAAAAGACAAGGTGATCGTTGGAACTGCGAAAGTAATTTTGAAAAAGGGTGATACCTAAAATACCTTGTGAGATACCTAAAACAGTTTCTAGGACACCAGAAGTACAGTACCATCATTTCTTCATTGACGTCGTTTTAATTTCGACGCCAGTCTCGGCAAAGATGCAGTTCATGCTACGTGAAGGTTATAAATCTTCATGTGTTCTCTTCCAGTTCCGGACTAACATCCTGCTAGTCGGCTAGTTCTGAAAGTGGTGGACATTATTTCTGGCTGTATTTGTAACCAGAAAACCTTGGGCATAACTTCAGTTCGGGGGGGGGCACTCCATTTTTCTCCAATACTCAAGATAAGGATTAGAGGGCTCACGACACGTAATCGACTCATTTAAAGTAGACTTCTGATAAATATTGGTGTAATGGGTGAGAAACCCTGAAACGTTTTCACATTTCCGCCTGCCATGACCCAAGGGAACGGTCCTGGACCAGGAGAATATATATAGCCCAAAGATGATCCAGGAAGGATAAGCTGTGCAGAACTGTGCAGAAAAGTGGAGCTGATGTGCCAGGATGTGTGGAATGTAGGCCATCCACCAATCCTTATCAAAAGAAAGCTTGAAATAAGTTGTTCACTCATTATCTTTATCTTATATGTTGGATAGCGCAGAGGTGTGCTCTTTAGTACTTTTTGCTCAGGATAGCAGATTACCCCCTCCCTCCCCTGAATTGGGTTTTCACGAATCCTGTGTGTGGTATAGAATAAAGGCATCCACCTCTGTCAGGGCGTGCGACGACCATTCAAAACGACCTGTTGGGTCAAATTCTGAAATTCCAAAGCCCGTTCAGAACGAATGAAGAATGAGTGGCCAGTCTTGAATCGGTTCAAAAGGATGTGAATGTTCGTACTCTTTTGAGGCTTCAAAAGTTTATCATCAAAAATAGAACACAAAAGTATAAAAATTGTAAATGCGTAGATATAAATGTATAAATATAAAATAAAACATATAAATAAAAAACAAAATGAGAGCACAATCTCAAGAGGCCTAAGGTTGAACTGCACCACGAATTCGAAACTGTTCCCAATGGCCCAGCCTTCGCTTTCTTCTTTCAGACTGATGATGATCGATGATCTGATTTAAACATGGCAATGCGTATATGTGGAAAGAACTGAAAATCTGCTTTTCAAGTTCCATGTAGACAACAAGTTCGCATCCAAAGCCTCCGCGATTCTGAACCAATGGCAAAAATGTGGCGCATCTCAAAAGAGTTTGAGCGCGTTTGTTTGTTTTGTCGTTCATTTTGTTTAATCACCTTATCTGAGGTATACGTACGCGCTTCAAATAGTGGCCCATTCTTTTTTATATTCAGCATTTTTTTGATTCAGCTTATTTTATCCAAGACTGCCTTGCAAGCAGTAATCGAGTTTGAAATTCTGTTACCGTATTCAACTCTGCGTCATGCCTCGGGATTTTCTCACCTCTCGTGTGATCCTCGGTGGCGGCTCCACCTTCGAGTTTTAACTCTTTCTCCTTAGGGTGATATAACTTTTCAGGCGGTATAATTTATGCCTACGTCAGTGAAAGCGAGGTAGCTGCGCTGGCTACAGTAAATGCACAGAATATGAACCAGTTCGTGCTTGATCTAGAAACCCTGGTCTACAAAGATAGCACTGGGGCGAGGAATCAGCCTATTAATCAACGTCGTGACCAAGCAAAGATTGATTTCATCAAAGAGGTGAGGTGAAATTTGCGACAGTTTTTTCCACGGGCAATTCTCAGACTCTGTAAATGCTGACGATTTCAAACTTCACATAATTGCTTAAATTTGATTTTCCAGTGCTTCTTCAAACACTATAAAGTACCTGAGGCTTTCCGCAAGCAAACTGTGGAATGACAGGGTCCTATGTCTGAATAATCGCGCATACCACACGAGAAAAGCAGAAGAGAAAAAAGCGGAAGAGGAGAGCAGGTATGGAATCTGAGCGAGTAGCCCACTATCTCCTGGAATTCAGACCTGGAGCCTGTGACCTTGTGGACGTGTATGACTAATCATAAGAACATCCAACTTGAGTTGTGCTCCCTTGTTTAAATCATATCTGCTCCCATGTAATAAATTCGTTTACAATGAAGCGTTGCATGTCTCAACACGATCGAGCTGGCTCGCGAAGCTACACTGGACAATCCGTCCGTGAAAGCCGTCAGTGTCACTGGAGAGGGTCCGAAAACGAAACAAAAGAGACTGAACCTACGCCCCATGAAAAGCTGTTACTCAGCCGCATTCATCTTGGATATGGGAATTGACAAGGAAAATTTGGAAATACTATCCACTACCCCTCCCCCCCCCCCCGCCAGCACCCCCGATCTCCCAATGAGGCGAAGTCCAATTGAATCAATCCTCTTCGAAAGCCGAACTATAGAAGTTGTTAATTTCTCTCCCAAATATTCATAAACACTGACCGTCCAACAAAAAAAAAATTCGTTAAGAAGTACAAAAGTGAAAAAGTCAAAGAATGATCATTTATGAGCCCTACCAAACGAGCAAACGAGAAAAGGAGCAAAAAACGACAAACTAGTCACTAAAAATGGCATACTATGACAACATCTCTTCTTTATTTATTTCATTTCGCACAAGACTTACCAAATTCTAGTACTACACAGATTGTGGTTCTCAATTTGCACGTAGCCCTTCAGTTGAAAGAAGCTTTTTAACCGCCTTCGCCAGCTGTGTGTTGACTGGACTTTGGCGTTGACCGTGGAGCAGCTTATCTATTGAATTTGAACAAATATTCAAATGATTATAACTTTCTTCGAAATATCGTATAAGGTAGGCATTCGGAGTTTGTAAAGAGCCTTTAACATCTGAACTTACAAAAATATAAGAACTAACATAGATCAATTAACGAGGAAGATTTTTTACGAGCGCGAGTTGTAACTTTTTCTGAAGCCATAACTTGCTTCACTTTCATAAAATCCGAGAAGTTATACAGCATGCAAACTAGAAGATTTTCTCCATCGAAAAGCTCTATAGCTCAGTATTTAAAAAACTCTCACGTCGAGGATTTTTGCCCGAGTGCCGATGAAAGGTACAATTTTCGCTGCATTGGCACTATTTCAACGACTATAATTCCTTTCAGCTGCGATTATTTACTAAAGTAGATGCAGTTTTTTTTTGCTTTTCTCTTACCAAGTGGTGTAAAATTGTTTAGCGTGTCTCGACTTTAAAGGTTCACCATGCTTATGAATTCGACGCTGAAGACCGCATTTCTTGTTGAATTGTGGACCCCTCCTTGTAATTTCATACGAACCCTTTCACAATCCTTTTGATTTCTCCTGAATTAGGATTCTTTCTCAAGAGAACCGTAGTTGAAGCGCGCGCAACTGAATGGGCCCACTTTGGGATGCGCCGTGTCCTTCAGTTCTCTTCAAATTCGGATTAGAAGGATTCGATTCAGGACTCGTTCTTGAAGGAAAAAATATCCCTTGGGAAAAGTGGGAATTCCGGACTCTATAAATTGTGTGGTGCTAAAACACTGAAGTTACCAAGAATTGCTAAGCGGGCACTCTGAAACACGAAGATTTTATGTGGAAGGAATAACACTGTTATTGAAATCCCTGGCGAGGAAGAGACGCAGACGCGGCGAAAGACGAGTCGCAGCGCATACTGTGGCGGTTAGGCGTCAGGTCAACCAGTGTGTGCCAACACTACCTATCGCACAGCGCGCTGCGACTCGTCCTTGGCCGCGCGGTGAGACTCTTGGAACACCCGATCCTCACTGACAGAGCCCTCACTTCACAATCCCCATTTCTGCCCTTCGCTCGTATTATACTTGTTTATAAACGTTGAAAACATCGAGGAATTTTGGATATCGAACGTGGTGAAATGCCAAGTTAGCGCTTACCATGTGTAGGGTTCGGGAGTCAAATAGACCAGACCAATTAAGCCCTTCATCGGAATCGGTAAATTGTCAAAACTAGCCGTGAAGATACAACCCTCAGTTACACCGAACTTGCCCTACATGTGCGTAATGATCCAGAATGCGATATACAATGCGCGCTAATGATTAAGAATCGAAGTAGAATGCGTGGCGCATCAATGAAGGATTGTTCAACGTCGCATGCTTTATCCTAATCATTTATCCCAAGCGGGTCAATACACCATACCGAATCAAAGTATATCGTAGAGATCGTCAGACTCAATCGTTTGAAACTCTTCTTCGACCTACTAAGAAAGTCGTACTCGAATTCTTCCACAGCATAAAGCATCTCTCCTAAATGTAACGTCCACAACGAGAAAGTTAAGGTAATCTTTGACGAAGAGGTAACGATGAATTAGGTCCTGTGGCAAAGTAAGCTGCTAAACTTACACAATACAGAAAAAAAACTAGGGAAACGCTTAAAACCGGGAACAGCTTTGCTTCTCCCTCCGAAATCCGTTCGCTTCAAGCACATCGGTGACGCATCACTCAAGGAGCTCCAGCTCTGCCGCTCTGACTAAAATCGACTGGAGTCCTTAACGCGAGGTCCGCACTGAATCAAAGTCAACCGGGCCGGCGGGAGAGAGATAAGCGTCTCAAGAGACCGGAAAGTCTTATCTGAGCCGCTATGGGCTCGCCCTTGGACCCTCTGGATGCTGCTACAATTCGAACCTTTGGGGCCCATCTTCTCAAACATAGTGGGCTCATTTGACCGTCTTCATCATATAATTTATCGCTTCACGCTCCTATAGACAAAAATGCGGCTCCGACCAGAAGCAATCAGTGAAAGAGCAAACTGGTGCGTCTGCCAGGTGGCATCGGACGAAAGGTAAACGCTTATTGCGCGGAAGACTCACCTCGATAAACGACCTCCCATGTAGCGAAAAGCCTCACCCCAAAGCCAACTGAGAAAAACGAGGTCCCCGTTCCTCCCTTTTCCTGAACACCCATGCACCATCTACATCACAATCACGCGCTACACCACTCACCGATAGCTGCCTCCTTCAATGCTCAAATATACTGCTCCGCAAAGAACACCAAACAAACGTTGTCCCCTAGCGACGATCATCGGTTCCATATCTCAGCTGCAAATCGCAAACAATTATTAAGAATTTGCCTAGACACTTGCAGCGCAGGAACAGCACAAATCAGACACGACTTCCAGAACACTTCCAGAACGCCGTTTCCCTGATATTGTCGAATCTGCAGCCAATTCTGTCTTTGTCCTCAATAAATCGCGGTTGATACTCTCTTCAACAATATTCACGACGCCCACACCCTCCTCGCACTTCCCCGTAATCGCACTCGCACCCTCCGTAAGCAGAGACTCCCGTATCCGTCCCTATCAACGCGCCTGTATCCGCACCCACACCTTTGAATGCGCCCATATTCGGAAAAATCCACAAGCGTGTATACCAGAAATCCCACTACTATTGGACCTAACATAAGAGGGCGCCGATCACCAGATAAAAGACCATTGAACACCACCGACTCAAGAATCAAATGTGAAATCTTAGCGAATTTAAGCAAACATGAGCTTTAACTCAATTGTTACCGTATAATTCGCTGAAGTCACCATGCCCACCCTGTTGTCGTGAAAAGGAGCGCCATGATAAGTCATTAGTCAGACCTGTCCTATCAGTGATACAAGATAAACGAAGCGAACCAGAACCACTCCTTCTTTTTCACAGTTCCTTTGCGCCACAGTAAACTGATAAGACAGCTTTTGTTCCGCATTAGGATCAGGAAAAAGGAGGGAAGCCCGAGAGCGGAGATCAGCGCATTATACCCCACCGAACAGCCTTCAATTAGGTGTATTTAATCAAAAAGTGGTGTAGGGAAGACAAGTACGTTGGATCTAATCTTGTCGAAAGTAATTTTGAAAAAGGGTGATACCTGAAATACCTCTTGTGAGATACCTAAAACAGTTTCTAAATAACAAAATGGTTAAATACCGATGTCATTTTAATTTCGACGCCAGTCTCGGCAAAGATGCAGTTCACGCTACGTGAAGGTTATGAATGTTCATGTGTTTCTTCCTGTTCCGAACAACATCCTGCTAGTCGGCTAGGTTCTGAAAGGGGTTGACATTCTGGGCTGTATTTGCAACCAGAGAAACCTTAGGGCATAACTTCAGTTCGGGGGGGTCCCTCCATTGTTTCTCCAATACTTAAGATAAGAGCGGGAGCGGTCATGACGCATAATCCACCCATTCAAGTTATACTTCTGAAAAATACCGGTCTAGTGTGGGAGAAACCCTGAAATACTCTGACATGACAAATCCGCCTGCCATGTCCAAGGGAACGGCACTGGACCAGGAGACTACACCCTCTGCCTAGGCTAAAAGTGGTGGAGCTCCAAAGGGATGACCTGTGGAACTGTGCAGAAAAGTGGACCTGATGTGCCAGGATGTGTGGAATGTAGGACATCCACCAATCCTTATCAAAAGAACGCTTGAAATAAGTTGTTCACTCATTATCTTTATAGTGTTGGATAGCGCAGAGGTGTGCTCTAGTATTTTTTTTTTACTTAGGTATAAGCAGATTAAACCCCTTCTCTCCGCTGAATTGTGTTTGCACGAATCCTGCGTGTTGTATAGAATAAAGGTCCACCTCTGTCAGGGCATGCGACTACCATTCAAACGACCTGTTGGGTCAAATTCTGAAATTCCAAAGCCCGTTCAGAACATTATCTTATCCATGGTGTTGTACAGGCCAATATGAGTACTCTAAGTACTTTTTTTTACTCATGATAGCAGATTGTCCCCTCCCTCCCCTGAATTGGGTTTTCACGAATCCTGCGTGTGGTATAGAATAAAGGCTCCTCGTCTGTCAGGGCGTGCGACGACCATTCAAAGCGACCTGTCGGATCAAATTCTGAATCAATCACTCAAGACGATACCATGTACTTCCACGGCATTATTCACACTCCTAAATCCTATAATAAGAATTCGTCGACAGTGACCTTATGTATGCAAATATAACAACTGAAAGCCTCGGTTTTTCGAAGTTCTTCTCCACAATGTCCAATACCCTTAGAAAAATACGAAATGCGTGCGCTGAATCGCTATAAAAGGATGTGAGTGTTCGCTACTCTTGAGCTTGTGGAAAGTTCGTTACGAAACGGAACGTAAGGTAAAAAAAAGCCATGTGGTCTGCCATCTCCCAGAGGACTGGCAGCCCATATGGACTGCCACCGGAGTGATGTGGTAAATCGCCAACACAGGTCTATGTTAGCACCAGCAATTTTTGTACGTTTGTTCAGAATAGATTTAGTGTCGCAGCATTCGAGTTTGGTTGCTACACTCCTGTCTCTGAATGCCTTAGGCGAAATGAAAAATAACAAATAAAAACAATGAATATAAACATATCACGAGTATCACCGACAAACATGGCATCGATCGCTTGTCATTCCGATATCAATTACGATAGGATTAAAGCGAAATTCTGCTAAGCATTTAAGTTCAAATTACTTTCTTTATTTTCAGAGTTTGACGACTATCTACCGTCACATCTCAAAGGGAACGATCCGTTACGCGCTATTGTACTAAATCGATTTTTATAGAAGCAAGATAATGGCAAGTGAGTGATATGATGAATGATTTGAGCGTTTTCTAGCCTTGAGATTTGGAACTGGATAGAAAAGGTTCAATAAGTTCTATCAGGTAATTGTCTACAAATAGCCCAAAATGAACGCGTTGACGGCAGCGCGCGTTTCAGCATCTTGGCCACGTGGGACAGGAGCGATTTGGCGAGCGCGGCCGGGTGTGGTTCACTAGGACAGAAAGCGACTTTTTGCGTTTTCCGCGCGAAACATTTTTCGCTGCGGGAACTCCAGGTCCACCATGATCAGCGGTGGACCTGAGGCCCTGCAGCGAAAACGTTTCCGCGCCCTAAACGCGACAAAAGTCGCTTCCTGTCCTTGTGAACCACACCAAGCACGGACGCCGGCCTCATATCTGTAAATTTTAAGTGAAAACCAGAAAAACGCGCAAGACACAAAAAATTACCCGAATATCGTATGCGTAGAAGTTAATCGGGTTTGGTGGTGACATGGCGACAAAAAGGTGTAATGGCCGAAAGCAAATTTTACTATTTCTCTCTATGATGGGCACCAAAAGTATTTTTTGACGTGGTTACGTCAGCAAAAAGATTCATTTTTCCATTAACTTGGTTTGGTATTTACTTCTACTACTACTCCTTAATTATACGGCCATGACAATAATAAGAAAACGAGAGATGAAGCGAACTGCCAATTTCGTAGCGTTCAGAAGACCTCTGTAAACTGAAGCATATTTGATCATACGGAGAACCATACCGTAGACAATTATGTAATATAGTTTGTATAATAATATAATAATATAATTTGGGAATAAATCGCGAAAGCACGAGAAAAAAAGGGATGACCTGAATGGGACGCGTTACTGCGTCGCAGTTCCCGAGGAGTGCAAAGTAGGACGCTTATCGCGCTACGCTGTGGTTAATGTGTTAAAGTGTAATAAATAAAATGTTATTTCATGACTTATTTATTTATACCTCTCTAGATTATCAGGCTTCTCTACTGGAGATGGAGCAGTTAACGGAGAAGTTGAGTAGGATGGAGGAGGCCATGGCTCAAATAGCGGCCATAATCCAGAGGTGGTGAAACTTTCATGACTGCTTTCTGTTCATGGGTTTCCTAATTATTTTCTGATCTTTGTTCCGATTAAGGATGACAACACAGGGTCCACCAGTGGTGCCAGCTGCAAAGCCCAAGCAGTTCGAAAGAAAACAGTTCCGCAAAGAAGAACCTGTGAATCCAAGAAGAAACGCTCCAGATCAAGATCAAGGTGAGGTTGTTAATGCGCATTGAAGTGTCTGATCCTCGGTGGCGGCTCCACCTTCGAGTTTTAACCTCTTTCTCCTTAGGGTGATATAACTTTTCAGGCGGTATAATTTATGCCTACGTCAGTGAAAGCGAGGTAGCTGCGCTGGCTACAGTAAATGCACAGAATATGAACCAGTTCGTACTCGAATGGAAACGCGGTCCTACAAAAGATCGCACTGGGGCGTAGGAATCACCTATTAATCAAGTCTCCAGCAAAGATTGAATTTTCATCAAAGAGTGTAGTGATAATTTCGAGAACAGTTTTCTTTCCACGCAATTCTCAGACCTTGTGTATTGCTGAGCTTTCAATTTCGGACTTCACATTGCTAATAAAATTTGATTTTCCAGTGCTTCTTCAAACACTATAAAGTACCTGAGGCTTTCCGCAAGCAAACTGTTGGAATGACAGGGTCCTATGTCTGAATAATCGCGCATACCACACGAGAAAAGCAGAAGAGAAAAAAGCGGAAGAGGAGAGCAGGTATGGAATCTGAGCGAGTAGCCCACTATCTCCTGGAATTCAGACCTGGAGTCCTGTGACTTTGTGGACGTGTATGACTAATCATAAGAACATTCAACTTGAGTTGTGCTCCTTGTTTTAAATATATTGCTCTGCATTAAAATAAATTGTTCCAGAAGCGTTGCATTGTTCTACACGAGATCGATTGCTTAAAGCTTACACCTGTAATCAATCATCGTGAAAGCGTTAAGTTGATACATCTGTAGGGGATGGTCCGGAAAGAAACAAAAAACTGGACACGCCGATGAAGAGCTTTGGTTTACTAGCGCAGCATTTCATCTTGATAGGAGTGTTGGACAGGGTCAAGCCACTATCGAGAAAATTTGGAATACGATCCACCCCCCCACCCCCCCCCCCGCCCCCCAGCACCACGGTCTCTGCTCCCCCAGAGGCCGAAGTCATTGAAACAACCCTCTTCAAAAGCCGAACTATGAAAAGTTGTTTAATTCTCCCCCAAAACTGCTCATAAAAAAGCCCTGCTACCCACGTCCACAAAAAATTCGTTTAAGAAGTACAAAAGTGAAAAAGTCAAAGAATGATCATTGATGAGTCCTACCAAACGAGCAAACGAGAAACAGAGCAAAAAACGACAAACTAGTCACTAAAAATGGCATACTATGACAACATCTCTTCTTTATTTATTTCCTTCACAAGACTTACCAAATTCTAGTACTACACAGATTGTGGTTCTCAATTTACACGTCCCCTTTCAGTTGAAAGAAGCCTTGTAACCGCCTTCGCCAGCTGTGTGTTGACTGGACTTTGGCGTTGACCGTGGAGCAGCTTATCTACTATTGAAATTTGAACAAATATTCAAATGATTATAACTTTCTTCAAATATGACGAATTTTCAATCTGAAAGCAGATTTGGGAGTTTTGTGAAGAGCTCTTTCTAATCAGTACTGAAATTACAAAAATTTATAAGAAATAACAAATTTAGATCAATTAACGAGGAAAATTCATGATGAGCACGAGTTTTTACACTTTCCGAAGCCATAACTTGCTTCATTTTCGTCAAATTCGAAAAGTTATACGCATACAAAACTAGAAGATTTTCTCTATCAAAAGCTCTATACGTTCAGTATTTAAAAAACGGCCACGTTGAGGATTTTTGCCCGAGTACCGCCGAAAGGTACTTTTTCGCTACATTGGCACTATTTCAACGGACTATAGCTCCTTTCAGGGCGATTATGTACTAAAGTAGAGCAGATTTTCGTGCTTTTCTCTTTCCAAAAAGTGTAAAATTGTTTAGCGGTCTCAACTTTAAAGGTTACATGCTTGTGAATTTGACGCTGAAGGCTGCGTTTCTTGTTGAATAGTGTACTCCTCCTGTAATTTCACATGAACCCTTTCAGAATCCTCTTGATTTTCCTGAATTGAGATTCTTTCTCCAGAGAGCCGTAGCTGAAGCGCGCGCAACCAACTGGGCCCACTCTGGGATGCGCCGTGTGCTTCACATCCCTTCAGATTCGAATTGGATTAGAAGGATTCGATTCAGGACTCGTTTGAAGGATAAAATATCCCTTGGGAAACGTGGGAATTTCGGATTCTTTGAATTGTGTGGTGATAAAACACTGAAGTTACCAAGAATTGCTAAGCGGGCACCTCTGAATCACGAAGATTTTATGTGGGAAGGAATAACACTGT